GCTCTAGTCCAAAACATCTGGAGGGCTCTGTTGTTTTATGCCTAACTTTGCAATCCTAAGGACTAGAACCTTACCTTTCAAACGCAGATTCCTAAGAAAGCAGTTAGGAATGTCTGCTTTGGAAGGGACAAAGGAAGAAAGGGGGTTATATTTCTGAGCCCATCGTTCGACCATGGGGCTTGGGAAATAGAAAATGCTTTTCACTTACCGGGTGAGAGCTCCAGAGTACACCAAGCTGATCCAACTTTGTTGGACACAGTGCACTGGTAAACCCCAAAATGGTTATGTGATAGTTTGTGAATGAGCAGATCCCCCGGATTGGAACCTTCAGAGGAGAGAAATGCCAAGAAAAGTGTAAGAGTATATTTGTGGGGGTATATAGATATCATCTATCTATTGATTATCCATCCATCAATCCGTCCATCCATTGACAATCTATTCATCCATCCATCCGTCCCAGAAGTTTTCTTTACATTTTGTCTCTTTCTTTTCAATTTTATTTACCCAGTTTAGGGACCACCCAGCTGACTCTGGGTGGTGTGAAATAAAATCAAACAAAATCGAAAATACAATAAAATTATGAAATTTGCTTTCCTCAGCACAGTGCTCTCCAGCTTGGCACCCTTCAGATGTGTTAAACCACAACCCCATTTCCAGGCTGGGGCAGATGAGAGTTGTAGTCCAGCACATCCCCAAGGCACTCCATGGGTGCTGTAAAAGGGATTTTGGAGTCACGCGAGAAGGATTTAAAACATCGGTTTCTCACCATTGTTCATGATGGTTTTCTGGTGGCTGGCCCTTCTCTCTCCCTCCCTTTCCAACAAGACTTCACGCACCCCACCATGCCAATATGGGGGCACTCCCTCTGTTTTTCTTACCTGCCATGGTACTAGGGGGTAGCTCACTTTCCAGGGGGTAATCTGCTATTTTGGTCCAGCGATACATGAGCGGAGGGGTGCCGGACTGAGAGACACAACGGAGGGTAACTTGACGGCCAAGGAAAACCTTGCCAGAGATCGAGCACTGGGGAGTTGAGGGTCTCTCTAGGAGAAGGACAAAAAATAATGTCAATTAGTAAATCTAATGTCAGCCTTACTAGGTAGACCAGACAGGAAATACAACCAGATAAGCGAATTCTACTTTATGGTAAGGCTACATTAACAGAATCTTGCAAGCCTGAAACTACAATTCTCCCCCCGTCTCTTTTACAGCCTAGGGAGACTCCCTTCTGAGTCTCTTTCTCTACCCATTATGCAGCTGTGGGCTATGCCGCCTCTTATCTGACTGTTCCCTTGGCAGCGTCTCTTGGCCCCGTCTCCCAAGCTCTTTCCCACATCCCATTACATCTAAGCCCAGGAGACAAACTGGGAGAAAAGTCAGGGTACGATGCAAGATGTGGCTTTGCAGAAAGCTGGCCTACTGGCCTTCTCTTGCACGTTTAGTGTTTCACATTTCAGCTGTTTTAAGGCCCAGTTGGTCGCACACCCACTTGGCGCCTGAGCAGTCTCCTTTCCAGGGATCGCTTGCACTCACCGAGCACCATGACAGTCACTTTACGGGAGGCTACGGTGGTCTTCTTCACTTTGCACTCGTAAGTAGCCGAGTCGGAAACCTGAACATTTTGGAGATTGATGGATGCATCGTGCTGGCTTGGATCGGAGACAGCGAAGTTCACCCGCTGTTGCAGGCCAGAACAGCAGTTGTTGGGAGAACCGAAACGGTGGCCACCTTCGCTCTGCTGAAATCCTGGGTTACTAAACCGGCTTGCATCTTGGCTGCCAGAGCGCCCCCTTGGGTGCAAATATGGGTGTCCGGGGTGGATCACTTGCTGGCCGTGATAGCTAAGGATCTGGTGGGGAAGAAGCAGAGAACAACACTGCTGAATCAAAAGAGAGAAGTTTCTGATTGGCTTAGGGAGAAAGGCGATCCGCTTGCGTTCTTTTTTACGGACCGACCAAATTCAGTCGCCCCATCTCATCTGCAAGACACGCCATCCTTTAATTTGATTTAATTAATTGAATTAATATTGTTTACATTCAAATTTAATTTTTAATGCTTAAACACACGTTATGCTTTCATTTTTGCAAGACTCCGAATGCGGCGACGCAGTTCTTCAGTCCGAAAGGGCAGAAACAAAGGTTTGCTTAGGGAAGACAGGACCCAACATTGCCTATGTTAGTATTTGGAAAGGCGGTTTATTGGGATAAAGCCTTGCAAAATTGTATATCGATTAATGGAAGTGCATACAAAATTGCATTGATTGGGGGAAAGAGGGAAGCGCTCTGGCACCCCGCCCCACCCCATAAAAAACTGGGTTTAGAAAAGGGTGAGGTCTTATTCCATGCAAACTTTTAAAAATAAAACATCTGGAAGCTTGTCCAAAATGGGGTTGGGTGAAGTTTTGATGGAACCATTTCTGCAAGGAGTAAAACGTAAGATGAATATTTGTCCATAATGACTTACGTCAGAGTTTTTTATGAATGGTAGAAGCTC